TCCCCGCATTCATCTTGCAAATGTGGCCCAAAGAATAATAATTTACAGTGGCTCATATTTCACTTGGGTACATAAGGGCAAACAGTTTGACTATTGAGGCGTTAGGGAGAGAAAAATGCAGAGCGTGCCGCTAGAGGATGGGGGAGATGGAGGAATATTTCACATTCTGTGATGGGTGGAGAAGCTTTACTCTCTATCCTGGTCAGGAACAATGTTTAAAAGGAGTCTCGAAAATGATTTCAAATCTGGCACAGATGAAATGTCAGATAGATGCTGAAAATGGGTTTTGATTTGCTTCACCTCAAAAAAAGAGCTCAATTAATTTAGTAACCTGTTTCATGTAAAACAGTAAAAATTTATTTATTTTTATGTCAATGGATTGAGTTTTATATACAGTGCTCAGCGTAATTGCGTACATCCCATTTGAAAATGAATATTTATATCCATTTCTCAGTGAATAAAGGCAATGTATTTTGGTACATTTAAACTAAACATATTTTATAAACAGATATATTTATTAAAATAATATTTTAGCCACCAAACATTTAGAAATTGAAAGACAATACAATTAAATTCAAGCAAAATATTGAAAATAAAAAGTTATAATTACAAAATTTCAACAAAATTTTACCTTTTTTTGCCTTTCTTAATTTTTTCTCATTTTTAAATTTGTATTTAATATTTTTCTATAACATATACATTTGGGTGTACTAGTTTTTGGACCGTTATTGCAAATTATTTTGTTAGATAAGCTCCAGATTTGGCTTCAGTACTGACAAATCTTATGCATATGCACAAATATAATATTATTTAGCTTCCTATTAAAAATATGAATTTAGATTTGTGAGGGGTGTACTTATATATGCTGAGCACTGTATATACAAATAAATATATACAGCTGTTTATTTGGGTTTACAATTTATAGTTATGTTTCATTAAAAAAAAAAGTAAACTGTTGATGCATTTTACTTAAATGTAAAATTTTTCAAAATTAAAAAAAAGAGTGCCTTTTTGAATATTTTTTGGCATAAAATAACCAAAAATGGTGATATCTATATAGATTTTAGACAACAAAACACTAATGATTCACTTTCAGTTAAGAAATCATTCATTGGTGATATAAGTTCACTTGGATTTTTAATCTCAACTAATGAAAACATTTGTTATTCTAAAAACATTTGTTTTCACAGATGAAACATGCTTTGAATGGCAGTTTTTTAAATTTGAAAGTTACCAGAGGTTTATGTTATCTAAAAAAAAAAAACAAATATGAATATCTTACTTCAGCCCATAACTATTAAATCCAGTACATCTAAAGAAACTGAGACTATTCTCTTATTTTTTTCTAGCTGTAAATTATAAAATAAAAATAAAATAAAATAAAAAAACGACAAATAAACACATACAACAAATACATTTTTAAAAATAGTATTTGAAAATAATTCCTATCCATCGGGATCTTTTTTCCAACATTTCATCCGCAAATTGAACAAATTTGTAAGCACCATAAACACAAGATTAGCACATAAAACTTTTACAGCCTTTTACGTTTATGGTAAACGATTTATTTGACCTTATTGATTTATGCTTCTTACTATATTATGTATAGTTATGCATTAAAAAGTGCCTAATGATGATAAAAAAAGACTATTGTCATGTAAAAAACATTCACGCTTATCCTAGAGTGTCACTTCACATACTGTATCTACACTAGCATGGAATCCCTGCCCTTATTGGAGCCATTAAGAATAAAGCTGACGTTAAATTGAATAATCATGTTTTCAAGTAAATCCAGCTGCTGGAACAATCGGCGCTCTGTACCCTCACAGTCCGCTCTCTGTCCAAGAGCGCTTAAGCCAGGTACGAGTCCCATCAAAATCACACTCAGCCCTGCTGCTCTCTTAAAAAGCTTCTACTTATCTATCAGCCACAGGACTTTCTCTTCACAGCCATGTAGACGGCTCTCGGAAATTGATTAGGCAAAAAGCGAGGGACCCCTTTTTCCACACTGCATGGCTATTTTCACATACTCACACAATGCTGAGATTTCGTATTTTTTACCCTTTTTTTTTTTGGTTTACGTTTGGATAACCTGATCTTGTGTTTATAGTTTGACTTCCAGTCACATTTTTTTAAACAGTCAGGGACATCTGAGCGTTCAAGGTGATACAAACAAAAACGGCTCTGCGACAGAAGCACAGGGCTACGATTGACTAATGAAATCCATTAATATGACAAAGGCGAATTAAAATTCCAGCAGAATATTCATTCAAATTTTGGGGGGAAGTTTCCAGCATATATCAAAAAATGAAACAAGGGTGCAAAGGGTGCCGATGTCTTTAATTGTGTGAAAAATTAAATGTAGCTGAAGTGAATCAAACCTTAAAAAATAGAGCTCTTAATTGCACCAGCAGCGCTTCTTTCCATTAAATTTGGTGATTAATCGTTCTGGCATATATCTGATGTGTTACTCTGTATTTGTTCATGTATCTCTTCCTCTCTCTCTGACAATCGAGCAGGCACTGCTGTGGTTTGGACGTCCTCCAGACATCCTGCTTCTCCTGCTTTGTGGTTTTGTTTTGCAGATCTCATCTCACTCTTCACCGTTCCTCGTGATTGACAGCTAAGCTCAGGTATGAAAACAAACACAGCGCTCCAGCGGCGGCGGGTGGAAAGTGATCCCCTTTACGCCCTGTACCTGCTACTGCTACCCCTCAACACAGTGTCAACGTCAACAAGGAGCTTAAAAAAAACACACAGCATTCAGAAAACACTTAAGAGCACTTAAAACAATTCTAGGATAGAGTAAAAATGCAAAACTACCTGAAACATCTTGTTTCACGAGGATAGATCAAAGCCAAAAAGTGATCTGGTTTGATGAGTTTGTTTACTTGTTTTGTGCAGCAGAGCTGGGCATGTCTGGACGTGTCGCTACAATTTAAAAAACAGGTCTAAGTGTTCTCTGAACTTTTTTTTTTCTACTCTCTCTCTCTCTCCACTATTGTTCTTTGTTCCCTAAAGCAATCAGTTACTTTTTTCAACTGCTAAACTGTTTCTTACCACAGCGGTGTCTCGACAGGATCACAAGGTGAAAAATATGTAAAGACTTTAAAGAACAGCTGCGGAAATTTCAAAAGCCAGTGAGAAAACTTTCTATAATTTCAACACTGAGTTTGGCGGGGGCAGCGATTCCTCGCCGATTTATTTATCGAACAAAGATCAAAGGGGGGTTTTGTAGTGCAGCGACAATGACACAAAGAACTGTGGGTAGAATGCACAATGCCATCGGTTCAGATACGAGAGCAAAAACAGCAAGGCCAAACAGGCAACAGCTTCCTTTTCATCCTCGTGCCATCTTTTATCCGGCACTCTCCTCCATTAATTTCGAGCTGGAGGAACGTGTGGCCTTTGTATTGATTTTTTTAACCCAACTATTAACGCGCTCTCTGATTTATCATAACACTTTAGATCTTAATCATAAGTTGTGTGTGTTTTTTCTCTTTTTCAGCTTGGTGCCTTTGTTTGTGTATTAATTAAGCAGACCTTGTGTGTCTCCAACCCTGAGCTTCCTTTTTAATTGCCCGTATTTACATCAGGCCGACTTCAAACGCAGAGAGAGACATTTTGTAAGGGGGAGCACAAAGGAGGCCTTTGAAATGTCTACAGTCATATGAAATGGCAGGCTAATTAGAAACCTTAGGCTGCCGGTATGATATGAAAAGTAATTCTGTCTGTTTCTCTACAGTCGCCCGCAGCCTCGCTGGAAATCACGACAGAGGCCACTGGTGGGGTATTATCAACGCCTTCTACCTGTTTATACCTTTTAAACATGACCTCACCCAATGCCATTTATCCAACAGAAAAAAATACCCTGTAATTTAAAAAGATCTCCTTTCAAAAGGCTAAATCTTTCCTCGCCATTTTCTTCGCTGCACTTTGATCTACGGTGCCACATAACGGGGGCAGGTACAATGAATCTGGTTTACTGAGATGTGATTTACATTTGGGGGTTCATTAAGGTTATTGCCGATGAATGCACTTATTAGAATGTACGACTGTTTCTTTTCCCCCCACCTCAACCCCTCCTCCACCCACACGCCGCTGAGAGTCAGTCTAATCCAATAATTAAAACCAAGGACAAACGTTATTCATAATTCTAAATAGCGCAGGAATGGAAAAGAGAACCATTAAGCGAGGGAACAAAAAAACAATAACACTTCTCTCCAATGTTATTACGCTCGCAATCTAAATCCCGCTATTAACTGCCTCCTAAATGTCTTCTCCATTAAAAGCGTCCTGACATACTGATGCTATAACATTGGGTATTCCGGCTGCCATGACACCTGTATCTCTGGCGGCAAAAAAGCCTGCTGCTGTATGGAAACACATGGCTGTACAATAAAAGTCAGTGTAAAGCTCTAAGGGTATTGCTTTCGGCAAGAACGGATGACAAACCCAAGTGTGCCAGAGAACGGAACAGAAAGAGAGTTTGAGATAGTGAGGGAGGAGTGTGTGGTTGGAGCCGGGCAGAACTTAGTGTGTTATCTGAGAGCCGGTGCAGTGCCGTCTCCTGCTACATAAACACGTCTCTGTAACAGCCAGTGCTAAGACCTAATCGTGGAAAAAAAATAATAAAGCACATCCCATGAACACCTTTAGTGGGTGTAAACGGTGCATGGGTAGTACTGTCCTCCAATACAAACACACACATGCATTTTTCTGTTTATATCAAGCTCACCTTTCCACTGAAAGTGTGTTCAAACATTATAGAAATGTACTTCACCTGAATACACAATATTTTCTGCCTAATTTATATTCCAGGAGCTAAATAACTCAATTTTGCAAGCATACTGCACATCAGATTGAAATACTAGAAGAGTCAACAAGAAATTAATTAAGGAAAGATAAAACTGACAGAAAAAATGGACGTTTTCTGATACTACCACAGGACCAATCTTAATTAAATAGAAATATATCTGTAAAAGAGACAGGCTTCTTACCTTTAATTTCTCCTAACAGCTCGCCAGTGTTCAGTCGCTCCATCTTCTCTTTCCAGTCTTTAGAAAGGAGTTTCTCCATACAGGAGGATTCTGAAATACAGAAGACATTTCAGAATTAAATGTGATGCTTATACAAAACCATAAAGCAAAATCACTTTAAATCACTTTATTTAAAAAAAAAAAAAATCACAAAATCACTTTATTTAAAAAAAAAACTTTACTTTCTTTATGTGGTTGCAGCATAAATACATTATAAATACAAACATTTATTTTAAAAATTGCTAAACAACGTATTTGTGACAGAAAGAGAAATCCCACAAACACAGTTTGTGTGAAATCACAGACAGCCACAGTAAAGATGCATTCATACGGTACAGTAATTCGCTTTGAATAACTGCATTTCTCAAATCCATAGCTTTGAGTATGACCCATAAACCTTGAGCAACAAAACGATTTGTGCTTGGAGAAATAAAGAGGAATCAAAGACAAAGAAATAAGACAGAAAGGAAAAACGGGGAAAAACCTTCCGATTGAAAAGGTGTGTAGAGCAACATGAAAGAAACAAATTCCTTCTACTTCTGAGGGAAGTGAATGTTACACACACCTGGCTTTCAACCGCTATGGTGCACGATAATTGTCGAATGTGCGTTCTGGAGGCTGGACCGCGGTAATAAACTGAAATTCTATAGAGATCAGTAGCTGAGTGCATTACAGCAAAAAAAAGTGTGTCAGCTCAGTTCATAAAGAGTATCAGGGGTAATGTCTAGAGGTCAGAAAAATGTTTTAATTTCAACAAGAAAAAAAAAGGGGTTTTGTAACTGAATGAAATGCTCTAATGCAATATTTTCAAGTTAGGTCAACTACATTCTGTGAAAGTGTCAAGGTGAATCTATTTCTGCTTAGAGCGTGCAAACAGCTTTTTTATAAAAGGCACTAATTGTTTTGTTTAATTTTTTTCATATATTAAAAGGGCAGGTGTGATGTTTCTTAAATTCTCAATAATGCACATACTGAGAGAAACACAAAGACCAACATATAATATGTGGATAACGCGAGAAGTGACCCCTGGTCTGCTGAAGGTCGACTACAGAGGCTGAAAGAGTGATAAGAACGAGGCGCTGCACAAAGAAAGACATTAAAAGGAAAGGTAGAGAGGGTGAGATGGGCCTGCTTGACTGGCCCCGCACAGCCGGCAATGATGAAAACAATTAACATTTGTCTGGCAGACAATGAATCAGGAGGAGGAATGGCTGGAATCTGCAGAGCCGCGGCCCCGAGGTCATTGATAAAGAACACACTGCTCACCAGCAAGAGCTTGAAGCTCGCAGCCTGGGTCAGTCTGTTCCCATCGTACAAACACACACACACACACTGGGTGGAGAAACACCCAGTCAAAAGATGTGTCCAAACATCAGGCAAACATAAACAAAGTGAAAAGTTACTACATTAAGATCTCTACCTTTTTCAAGCTGAATTTCTTTTTTTGCAGGCAGTGACCCCTGAGTAGAGGGGATACGGGTGTCATGTTGCCATTCGATGACATCATGGACAGGAAGAGTAGAGTTTGTTCCCTGTGTGAAAGGCCAAAGGGCACGGGGCTAAAGCAGACATTCTTGCACGCTGCTGGCAGCCCTGCGGCACCGTATGCTGTAGTTAAACCACTCGTGCACACAATGGCTCATTTGTGAACACACTTAGCCAAACAAAAGGGCACAATTCATGAGAATGGGAATGACTTTGGCTATTCTGTTGTGCGTGCTTTGTGTCTGCGTGCATTGTAGTTGTACAGTATCTTGAGGTACTCCAGGCCATGGAACATTCCCCATGAGTGACATCATCACCCTCATGAATGTGGTGTGATGTGATTTTCATCTCATGCCATACAATTAATTGCTGCCACCATGCTTCTCTTATCATGAGCGCTACAACTAAAGGCGCAATGTCAACTGTATAGTATTACTATAACATTAGTTAACACTTTATTTTGATGGTCCATTTGAGTATTAGTAGACTGTCTGCTTTATATCTGTTGCTCCTTCAACAGACATTTAACTGACTTTAAGAAACTTTGCAAGTACATGTCAACTTACACTAACGCTAACAACCTAACAGTCTAACAATTAACTGAGAATTAGTTGGCATGTAGATGCAACGTATCTTAAAATTCAACAAACGGACCATTAAAATAAAGTGTGATCTAACATTTAAATAACTTTGTGAGACAATAAGGATCATTGTCAAGCAAACATTGGAAATGTCTTAGATCAGTAATACTTTTGAAATTTTTTGTGCGTCTTATAAACAATATGACTGTATTTATTTGATATAGCACCACACTTATGCCCAATCCCAATTCTATTTTTGTACTCTACCACTTCCCCTTCTGCTTGGCCCTTGAAACAGAGTGTGAAGAGAAAGGGCTTTAAAATGTACCCCTAAAAAAATGGGACAGCACTACAGCACCTGCACACATCATCATATCTATGATCACGACTGCTGTGGTTATTCCAGTTGCGTTATTTGTTGATATTTATCTTCAGGAAATCACTGAGGGCAACGGTATCATGTTATCATAACGATCTAATGTGGCAATAAGCTCGTAGCTATACTGTGCATTTACACCGTAGCCATATTCATCTATGTAAACACACAAAAACAACATTGATGTTATACCAGACACTGTAAAAAGCTCATTCCCGGTCACCAGACATTTCTTACAGGGTATTTGAGTAACAGATGTGAAAGTATGTTGTGGGACTAGTATACAGGAGTTATTATTATGGATTTTTAGATAGCGAAATATAGCGGTCTTCAAATCTTTTTTATATATATTTTTAAGCATGACGGTAAAACACAAATGCTGTTATGAATTTATTAAAACATATGTATGTTTCTTGTTGACAAGAAATACTAACATGCTGCCATTGTATCTGGTGTATTCTGGGAAATTCTCGCACCCCTTGGTTTCAAGTGTGATCCTGAAAAGTCTGGGGCTATTTAGCCTTTCCCCTTAGCCCAATGCCTTAAAGCTAAAGAGAATTGGGGAAGGGGAAGGGCTAAGGGGTAAAATTGGGATTGGGTCTTAAAGACTTTGCTTGCTAAGTCCAAGTGGGTAAGAGGCGCCCAACATAAAAGTGCACTATGCAATTTTGCTCAGATCAAGGGGTCTTTCTCCATTTACCCCATTTCAGAGAGAAAGACAGGACACCAACATCTGGATCATTCCAACATGATATCTACTTTACTGACTCCAGATCAGGGCTCACAGTTTTTCTTGACCTGTGTTGTGTGTATATGTGTGAGGTCTCTTGACTAAAAGTCAACAACTATCCTGCCTTTGCATAACTACATACAGTGCTGCTCAGCAAATACGAGAACACCCCATTATAAAAATTTATATTTTTATTCATTTCTCAGTGAATTTGGGTAATATATACTGGTGCATTTGAACAAAACAGATTTATTAAACAGAAAAAAAGAGTTTAGTTACAGAACATCGTTAGAAATTTAAAAAATAATACATTTAAATTTATGCAAACTTGCAAAAAGAAATCACAAACTACAACATTATAACAAAACTTTATATATTTTTTTGTTTCTTTTGATTTTTGCTATTTTGAAAAAAAATTATTGAATATTTTTCTATAACTACTAATTTTTGAAGCATTAATCTAAGTTATTTTGTTAGATTAGCTCTAGATTTGGCTTAAGTACTGACTAATCTAATGTAATTGCACAAATATAATATTGTAAAGCATCCTATAATGAAAATATTTATTTAAATGTGAGATTTGTGGGGGAGATTTGTGTACTCATATATGCTGAGCACTGTACACACAATACGCATACGTATAACAAAAAGCAGTACATTCCTTCCTCCAAGCCGAAAAAAAAGCTGGAAACAGAGAAATTTCCTTTTATGGCACAGGGCCGGGGTGGATCTGTCCTGGGGGGTTAAAAGGTTTTAGGGAAGACTTTTCCCATATTCCTCCTCTGCATCTTACACACACACACACACACACACACACAGAAAGAAGTGCACAGATGCTTCTCCAGCACTTGATCATTAAGGAATGCACCAACTGTTGGAGATAATGCGGTGCCAGCTCCCATTCTGCTCCACTCTGCCTCCCTTGAGAGTGGCCGCTCCCTCACTCCTCCATGCACACACACACACTACAGCTGGAATGCGCCGAAGCTGTACTCCACAACATTTTACCTGGAAGAGGTGAGGAATGTCCAGCATTTTCGAATGACAGACCTGTCCGAAACTGTACATCTCTTCCTGCGTTTAATGCGAGGATACTTCAGGAAAACAAGCGGTTAATGAAACAGACGTCTGGGTTTTTTCAAAGTACCCTTATAAAGCTAGAACATTTGAAAGGAATTTAGATTAATAATGAGGGGATATTTTTTGCACAATTTCCCAAGTTGCATTCCATCTTCTCCGGAGAGAGCACTAATGCCAATGGAAACACTGCTTAACATCTGGATAATACTTAAATGTCATACTAACATATTACCGATGTAACGAAACAAAAGTGGGCAATTTATTTTGAAAAATCAAACAAAGCTTCAGCCACATCCATTCGTCTCTCAGCGCTGCTGCTACTTCAAATGAGAAACGCAGCACAGCCCATTGAACAAGGTATATTTCCTTCCCACATTTGCATTCAGATTTCAAAATACAAAGAGTTCAGAGACAGTCTGACATTTATAGACTCGGAAAACTGAGGAAGAAGTGTGGAAAAGCCTACTGTAGAATGAGCAAGTGCTGACTTTATTGTCATTATTCCACAAGGGCCCCAAAAATCTCCTCATGCCCTCTCTCCTCCTCTCGGATAAAGTGGCTCGAGGGAAACCAACTCAGCCCAGATGAGATTGGAATGAAAACAATAGCCCTTATCTGCGCTTGTTTTTGCATTTTCCCAAGGTCCCCACATCTCAACAGACGGCTTAGCCTCTGCCACATTGGATCCAGAGCGGCTATGACATGGCACGGGCGCTGGGGAGAGGACTTGGAGGACGACCTACTGATTTAAGACCTCCTGGGAACTAATTCTAAGAAACCAGAAGAGACAATGAAGAGA